TGTCTCCCCTCTCTCTCTCTCCCCCTCTCTCCTCTCCCCCTCCGTCCTCTCCCCCCTCTCCCCTCTCTCTCTCTCCCCTCTCTCCCCTCTCTCTCTCTCCCCCTCTCCCCCTCTCTCTCTCTCCCCTCTCCCCCTCTCTCTCTCCCCCTCTCCCCTCTCTCTCTCCCCTCTCCCCCTCTCTCTCTCTCCCCCTCTCCCCCTCTCTCTCCCCCTCTCCCCTCTCTCTCTCCCCCTCTCCCCCTCTCTCTCTCTCCCCTCTCCCCCTCTCTCTCTCTCCCCCTCTCTCCCTCTCTCTGCGCTGCAGAGGTTCCGCTCTGTGTCTCCACTATTTCATTCAGAAAAGTCCCGGCGCTCTGAGCCCTATATATACTGTTCCCGGTCCTGAGCCGCTCCCCCACAGCTGCCGCCGCCGGTCATCTGCCCCCAACCCCGTGTCCAGCCCCGCGGCTGTCCCCCCCCCACCCCACACCCCCCACCTCCCCCACCTCCTCACACACACACACACACACCCCCCCCCCACACACACACACACACACAGCCCACCCCCCACCCCCCACACAGCCCACCCCCACCCCCCCCACCCCCCCCCACACACACACACACACACACACACACAGCCCCACCCCCACCCCCCACACACACACAGCCCTCCCCCCAGCACCACTCCCCCCCACCCCCCAGCACCACCCCCAGCACCACCCCCCCACCTCCCTCACACACACACCCCCCCCCACCCCCCCACAAACACAGCACCCCCCCCCCCCCCCCGCTAAATCAGGAGCAGCCCACACCGCCGCCCACAACTGCCCCCCCACCCCCACTCCCCTCCCCCCTCTCCTCTTTCTGTTCAGAGAGAGTTTGTTCTTTTTTGCAACCAGAATTAATACCCCCCACACACCCCCCCCACACACACCCACACACACACCCACACACACACACCCCCCCCCACAACACCACACACACACAGCGACGGTAACCACGGGGCCTGATTGTATGTTCTGTAGAGTTCCATTGCAAACAAGGAAGGGTTAATTATTAACGCTTCCCATTAATTGCTTGCCCATTTGACGAGTCAATGTGCCATTTAGTAATCTCTGGTAACTCTAATCAGCATCGCAGGAACTGGTAGTTTATTCTCGTTGAACATTAACTTAAGACTGGTTCAGTTTTACTTTCAATTGAGGCTAAACTTTTTTTCTCCCCTCCCTCAAGGCCATTGGCTGACATCTTCGACCAGCGCTTTTTTCTCTCAATTCCTTATGAAGAGTGCAAGAGGAGGAGGAGGTAATCTTACTGATTTTCTTTTAGAAATCTGACTGGGAAATTGCTTTGAGTTCAGCTAAAGAAGCTCTGACTTAGGAGCTGACACCTGCTAATTGTCACCCACAGCCACAGGAGTTACACTGTACCTGACCCACCTGGGCTGTTTGATGGACACGTGTGGCCAATGTATCTGAGACACAGGAAACAGATGGAGGACAGCAATGTTAACGTTGGTAGGTACCTGTTTGCACTCACTGAGACTAAAATTACGTTTATGGCTGATTATAGAACATCTCTGTGTGCAAACCTGCTACGATTTTCACCTAAAAAGAAGTCGCTACTGTTTAATACAGTAACCAAGTGCTTTGCGACATCCTCCCCATGTGTCGGGTCAGGTATCAAATGGTGATGCCGTTATAACTGACACCTCGCAAACCTTTGAAGTCAGATTATGTGAACATCTGAAATCCAGCGATTTAAATTCCCATTAATTTTGCTGCAGGCAAAGTTTGGGAAGATTTCCCAGGTTGCTCAGGCTTTCTGCGTGTCCCTCGTGCTCTCTGTTCCACCATTGGTGGCCACACTCACAGCCCTGGAACGCTTTCCCTCTATCCCTCACCACTTCCATCCGGATCTACCAGTCGTGCCTGAAGACCTTCCTATTCGACCTTGTCCGCGGTCACCTTCCCCTGGCTCGGTGTCATTCTCCGCCCCTATCAAGCTCTCTGGGACGCTACTCTGTGAGGGGTGCTGTGTAAATGCAAGTTGTTGTGGTAATGCCTGGGACCCTCTTAACCATGTGTTCATATATTGCAGAGTACTTGAATGGTTTGAAATCGAAGGAGGATATTTACTTCCATGTTTTAGAACGGATCCAAAACAAGATGCTGAATAGCTCCTAGGTAAATAACAGCTCGTGTCTGACCACTCCTTTGCAAATCATCTCTACTACCAACATCACTGAAAAATCTCATAAACCCCAGTCCCTGCTCGCCCTTTTATACTCGGCAAAATGGTTCTGGCTTCTATTCTCGGCAAAATGTGTTCTGAACCCCAATAACAGTGCCACACCTTCAGTCACTGTCCGACCATGAGTGGCTCCTCTTATTTTTTTCCCCCCCCTCACCACCCCAAATCTTATTCTCAATCTGCCACACTGCCCTGCGAGAATCTAGCAGTAAGTAGGAACCCGGTTGTTAGTCGATTGGTGAATCGCTTTTCCGGGGGAAATAATCCCTTCAGAAAAATATTTAATAATAATTTGGACACTTCAATCCACGACTGTTTGTGGGACGCTGCTGTGCGCAATTGGCTGCTGTATGTCGCCCACAAAATATTCAGTCAATTCACTTTTACAGTGTATTCTGTGAAGCACTTTGAGACATCTCAAAGACGTGAAACAGCGCTATATCAAATGCAAGGATTATTATAATCTTTTTAAATGATTCTTTTAACGCCTTTTACCATATTATTTTCAGGATTTGGTGTGCCGAGGAGGGGAAGAACTCCATCTGTAAATAAAAGGAGTGATTCAAGTTTCTGGGATTCTGTGGCCGGAAACTAACTGGTTTAACTGTATATATAGTTTTGGATGTGGATTAAGTTATTTTTAACTGCCGCTGTAAGACAGTTTTACGGATTTTTGTTTTTTGGGAAGCCTTCCAAGTAAGGCTGCATAAAACTTTTTTAAAATAACTATTGTACTGGTTTAAACCCCCCTGTTATAGTGCAGTCTGTAAAACCAAGCAATGGTTAATAGTTTCACTGTAGAACTGTGTGTAGCCTCCTCGTATCTTCTGTAACTGTTTTATTTGTATTTCGATTCTTGTTGTAGTTTATTCAGTAGCTCGTACCACACATTCCATCCGTTCCTGGTGTGAATGACCCCTTGGCTGAGACTCAGATTGGTTGGGGTGATATGCTCCCACTCCCTGCACACACTACTGCACACACTACTGTTAACTTAACTGGAAAAGCCTCTTCATAACCCCAGTCCCTATTCACCCTTTTTTTACTCAACAGGGCCCACTGCTTCAACTACTTTTCAATCATGAGGGGCCCCTTATTCTTCTCTCTCTCCCCCCCCCCCACCACACACACTCGTAATCTCAATCTTCCCTGCTACCCTGCAAGAAGGGTGTGATATAGTTGCAAATTGTCTTCAAAAGGACCTGCAGAAAAACTGCCTAAAATCTCCCATCCCCTTGAATGTCTGACGTTGTCTCTAAAATGCTGGGACATGATGTAACTGGTGCTACCACTATCAATTCAGTCAACGTGTGACCACCCTGCTCAAAGGCTAAGAGGAATCTTTTAATCACATCTAATTCAAAGCTCCCTCAATGACCAGCTCCACAAGCAAGGGTTGGTTCTGATCTCTTGGCAAAGAGGTTGATCTGCATTAATGTATTGTCATTTTTGCCATATGTTCCTTTGTCTGAGTGCTCTAAGCTAAGCGACTGATGCTTGGCAGAAAATTCCTTACGACATGAGGACTTTCTTTTAATATAAATAATTTATTTTGTGACTAAAATACAGGGTATCCTTACCGAAGGGACAAATACAACCAAACTAATGCAAATTGCTCTATAAAACAGCCTCTTGTGTTCATGTGGAAAGATACCCATATTCCCCTCCGTTGCATGATAATCCTTTACATTGATTGGTTGAGGCTCTTGCCTCTCGATCAGACATTAAACCAAGTCCCTGTTGCTTGTCCAGGTTGATGTCCTGGCCACTAATTCCCTGGATAAAATTGGTCCATGGCTGGCTGTGGAACATTGATGTATGCAAATTGGCCTCAGTGTTTGCTTACAATATACAATCCTTGCCCTTTACAGTGCTGCCTGTGAAAAGCTTTTGAGACACCCTCCTGACATGATGAAGTGTTTTGATAATCCTTGCATTTGATGTAGTGCCTTTCATGTCAGGCGCAAGTCTCAAAGCGCTTCCCTGGGTTTATTGTGAAGTCCAGTGACTGCTTCAAAGGCAAATGCAGCAGCTAATTGGTGCACATCAATGTTGCACAAATGGCAAATGAAGGATTGATGGCTCGGGCATCAGAGAAACTCCCTCTTGTAATACAGTTTGTCTCTATTACCCCAACTGGCATTATTTGTGGGTGAGCCTTAACGAGTGTTGGCTTGACTGATGGGGGCAGAGGTAGAGGGACAAGTGTCTTTCACTGACTACACAAGCCAGCAGTAGTCGCAGGGTACTAAGCAGTGTGATACTGACTCTAAGCCACGTGTCAGTTATGTTACAGACGAGTTGAGACCAGCTCACTCAGCACAGCCTGACTGGGCTAAACCTGTGACCTTCTTGATTTCTAATATGGAGTAAAGCAGACACCAGTTGGGGACAAAGCCAGACTCTAAAATCAGCTGGGGCCAGAGTGAGGGGTTGTTCTGTTCAGTTCCTGCAATCACAGTATATACTTTATAGTTGGGGTATAACGGTATAGAGCAATGCACTGATATCTGCTCACCAGGCGTGAGTAATAAGCGGGGAATCCAGTGCTGTAACATTAATCATAGCTCCAGGGCAATCCGCTCGTAGAAATGATTCACAAAGTGGGGAGGTTCTAGAGAGCACTGATAGAGTTGGAACTTTAACGTCCAGTAAAGCCAGAGGACTGTACGGCTTGGACAGACCATTGTCATTCTGGCTGTTGCTTGGTTTCCTCGAGTTCACCAACATAGATGTAATCTATCTCCGAGTGTCCAAGCCACACGTGGGTAGATGTTCCCAAATTAGATTTAGGCCCACAAAGATAATAATAATCTTTGCATTTGATATAGCACTTTTCACATCTTCTGTAGTCTCAAATCGCTTTCCCAGGATATACTGTAAAGTGAACTGATTATATTTGTGGGCGAATTGTGGCAGCCAATTGTGCACAGCAGCGTCCCATAGACGTGGAGTCCTGTAGCTCAGTGGTTAGAGCACTCGCTTTGCAAGTGAGAGACCTGAGTTCAATTCCAGGCAGAGAGCGAAACCTTGGGCAAGTTTCCTTACTCCACACACAGCCTAATAATCCCTCCAAAACAAAACAATAATAAAATTGGTCATTTTCAATACACAACTGTGGGACACTGCTGTGCGCAATTGGCTGCCGTGTTTCGCTCACAAATATACAGTCAATTCACTTTAGTCTTCTGTGAAGAGCTTTGAGACGTTTAAAAGACGAGAAAAGCACTATATCAAATGCAAGGAATATTATTATCTGTGGATTGAGTGACCAAATTACTTATTTGTGAAGGGATTATTATCCCCAGAATGTGATCTGCCAATCAACTAACAACTGGGTCCCTACTTACTGTTAGATAAACAGGCGTGTGGAGGAAGGAAATTTGCCTAAGGTTTCACCCTGACGGGAATCGAACCCGAGTTCACTCGCTTGCGAGGCAATGCTCTAACCACTATACAACAGGAATCTGTCTAGGGTTGTGGTTAAAACACTCGCCATGCAAACTAATAATAATAATAATAATAATAATCCTTGCATTTGATATAGCGCTTTTCACGTCGGGAGGACGTCACAAAGCGCTTCACAGAATAGACTGTAAAGTGAATTGACTGTATATTTGTGGGCGAACGCGGCAGCCAATTGCGCACAGCAATGTCCCACAAACAGTCGTAGATTGAAAATGACCAATTTTTATTATTGTTTTTGGTTTTGGAGGGATTATTATTAGCTGGAGTAAGGAAACTTGCCCAAGGTTTCGCCCTCTGCCTGGAATTGAACTCAGGTCTCTCACTTGCAAAGCGAGTGCTCTAACCACTGAGCTACAGGACTCCATGGGGAGTTGGGGTTCACTTTGCAAAAAAATTTGTAAATAATGAATCCTGAGTTCAGTTTGACTTCCTGATTGTCCGAAGGGATCGGGGAATGAGCAAACCATTGACCCCACACATCGGCTAAACCATACCAGTCATCCACAGAACTGTGAACACTTTGAGATGTCTCGACAACTTGATACGTTGCTAAATCAAATGCAAGCATTATTATTTTTATAACTCAAGTGAAGCAGTTCAATTCTAATTATATCTATATTATATAGCACCTTATCACATCTTCAAAGGGCTTTACATAATATGGTACCGTAGAGTACAGTGAATATGTATATCATAGGCAAAAACAACAGCTAATTTGCACACAGCAATGTCCCACATAGCCGTGAAGCGTATGATCAATTTTATTTGGGATTATTGGCCAGGACACCGGGAGAGGGAAACTTCCTCTTTTTGGGATAGTGCCGTGGGATCTTTTAAGAGTTGCGAGACACTACCCCATGTGAAGGGAGCTGTAAAAAAGTGCAAATCATTGTTTAACGTCCGCCTCAACAGTTGGACAGTATCTTGGTTTAACACCTCATTTGAGGGCGGCACCTCTGACAATGAGCTCCTCCAGCCCCCCAGTGGGTTTCAATGTGGGGCTTTAATAACCAACCTCTGACCAGAGGCAAGAGAATCTTAGGTGTTACCGACTGAGCCAGCCTGGCTTCATAGTAACATTGGACACGATGACAAAGCCATCACATAATGAGTGAATCAAGGACAATCAATTTATAGGACATATATCTACCACAGGCCTTTAACCTGTCTTATTCTCTCACCACCCCCCTCATGCCCCCACCCCCCTCATGCCCCACCACCCCACTGCAACCACTCACACCATTCACCTCTCTGATGTACTCAAGACCTGTAGACATGTGCTAAGCATGTGCTTAAGCCAATACAGTATAACCACACACAGCATCGCCTTCCCTTTGCAGTATTGCCTTTGGGTTCTGTGATGTTCTATTTATATCTTGTGCAAAATGCTTGGCTGCTGTGCACAGTCTGGTTCTGAACTGATAGAGATTGGGAATGTCAACCCAAGGACATTGTAAGCACATTGAGGAAACATTTTAAAGTGAGGAGGGGTGCAGGGGGAAAGACTGAAAATCAACCGATCTTCCTGGTTCTGACCGTTACCCAGTGAGAACCTCACCCCACCCCATCACTCGGGGGGAAATCGGGGTCGGCCCAGATGGGGAGTCAGGATAAGCACCATAATTACCTCCCTGTTTGATTTTGATCCCAAGTCCATGCACTTTGCAAAAAATATAATTAGATCATCACAATCACCAACTAGAATATGAAGGACGGCTATTCTCCTCTTGTTTGCTGTGGTGCTGGGACACACCTCTCACTGAGACTGTTTTCTCGCTACAATTCTATGTCTTAACATTTTGTCTTAAAATTTATCATGTGGCAGAATTGTGGAATATTCATAAATTTGGTCCAATCGGGAGCTGTGTTGCCTGTGATTCTCAATGAATCAATTCCAAACGAAGCCTGGATTACCCACTACTTCCACTTGTCTCCCCCAAACAGTTTCTCCTCCCACCATCGCGCAGCCACCTGCGGAGTACCTCAGGGCTCTATCCTCAGACCCTCCTCTCCCTCATCTGCACACTCTTGGCGACCTCATATGCAGACATGAGGTCAACCATGGAGTCTCGTAGCGTTGTGGTTAGAGCACTCGCCTCGCAAGCGAGAGGACCTGGGTTCCATTCCCAGGCAGGATGAAACCTTAGGCAAGTTTCCTTTCTCCACACACGCCTCCATTTACCGAGCACTAAGTTGAAACCCAGTCATTAGCTGAGGTCCTCCTGACGTGAAAGGCGCTCAATAAATGGAATCTTGTTATTGTTGTTGTTGTTGATCTCTTTCCGGGGGCAATAATCCCTTCAAAAAAATGTGGTCACTCAATCCACAACTGTTTGTGGG